GACTATGGCACAAAGAAGAGAGCTGGACCGATGGAAACACGGGCCAAAGGAAAGAGGCTAGTGAGAGGGAACCCCACCTCTTGCCACTCGGATGTTCCCTTGCCCTCCGTGTACACACCAAGCGCAGTCACCCATATTGTAGCCAAATCTTAAAAAAAAAAAAAAAAAAAGGAAAATGCCTCTTCTTAACTATTCTAACATCTATGTATATTGAATGAAATAAAAATAATGTGTGGTAACACACACCTTTAATCCCAGCATTCTGGAGACAAGAGACTGGTGGATTTCTATGAGTTCAAGTTCAGCCTGAGATACATAGCAAGTTCCAGGACAGCCAGAGATATATAATAAAGACCCCACCCCCACCCCCCAAAAAAAAGGAAAATAAAGCTTTGATAAGTAAAACCTATGGCAATCGATTCAGTCCACTCAAATGCAGCCATCTAAGAATAACACCAAGGGGTCTCTCAGACACTTACGTCAGGTTGAACTTGAAGTTGAACTGCCATGTGTTGATTCCAGAAGGGTACTCCCCTTTCTCATTTGTGAATGTAAGGCCCAGTTGAATGATTTTTAGAAGGTCAACATTGCACCGCAAAAGCTGATACTGGTAATCTATGGAGCTTCGAAATTCACCAATTGGTCGTACCACAACACCTGGAAACTCTGTGTCCTAGGAACAAAAGCCTCTCACCAGTAAGTCTCACCAAAGTGGCTGCTGGACTAGCAACTCATGAGCAAAATTGCTCTTCATTTTCTAAAAGCCCCAAGATTAGCCCCCAAGGTCTGGAATACAACAGGACCTGGGACAGGTGACTTGGTAACTGAGGGGAAATGGGAAGTCAGGTAGGACCTTTTTTTTTTTTAAAGAATAATTTTTATTTCATGTGCATTGGTGTTTTGCCTGCATATATGTCTGTGAGGATGCTGGATTCCCTGGACTTGGAGTTTCAGACAGTTGTGAGCTGTCACATAGGTACGAGGAATTAAATGAGTCCTCTGGAAGAGCAACAAGTGCTCTCACTGTTGAGCCATCCCTCCAAAGGAGTTTCTCTATTTCTCTATCTATCTATCTATCTATCTATCTATCTATCTATCTATCTATCTATCTATCTATCTAAGTGCATTGCTGTTTTGCCCTAGGTGTTGGGTCCCCTGGAATTGGAGTTACAGTTGTGAGCTGCCATATGGGTGCTAAGAATTGAACCTGGGTCCTCTGGAAGAGCAGTCAGTGCTCTTAAGCACTGAGCCATCTTTCCAGCTAAGAGCATCTAATATGTGTTAAATACAAATACAGCCAAGTTGGATATGATGGCTCACAAGACCTTTGCTCCTTCACATTAGTTTGTGTGTGACTTGAGAGAGCAGTATGGCTGCTGGCCTGCTATTCAGAGCTCTCATCAAGGACAAATGCAGCCATTCTTTTTCTTGAGTGACTGTCTCATTGCCTTGTATATATAAAACTTTTCCCTTATAAAGCCCAGACTGACCTAAACTTGCTGGTTGTGAACCCCTGATCTCCCCACAAGTGTTTTGAACCCCCATCCCAAGCGTCAGGATTACAGGATCTTAGTCTGTTGGGAGAGCTTATAAGGCTAATGCTTCTCACAGAATAGTGAAAGCAGGGTAGCCAGACAGTGGCAAGCAGCAAGCCTGGAGTGGAACAGAGCCCCTGCTTGCTCAGGGGCTGGTTCAAGACAGCCTTGCCTTAGCGAGGTCAGGCAGGAAAGTAAGTAACAGATTACACCTCTTCCCACTTTATCCAGAAATGCCAGATCTGGAATTTGCTTATCTCCTGACTTTTGAGTACAAGCAACACAATATCTAAATATTTTGAAAACAGAAGCAAGGCCTGTTAGCACACGCCGGGATTCCCAGCACTTGGGAGATAGAGGCAGGAAGATCAGGAAGTCAAGTCATCCTCCTGATATATAGCAAGTTCAAGAGGAGCTTGTGTTACATGAAACCATGTCTCCAAATACCACACGGCCAAATCACATGTGTGAAGAGACACCTATGGGGCCGGGGCAGGTCAGATGCTAGAGCACTTGTCCACCACCACACATACGATGGGCACAATGGCGCAGACCTATAACCTCAGCCAAGAAGGCAGAAGCAGGAAGATCAGCACAGGTTCATTTCAAGGCCTGCCTGGGCTACCTAGGGAGCGCGGGGCTAGTCAGAGCTACCTATCCAGATCCTAAAATAAACAAAAATAAAAGTATAAAAAGACTTTCAAACAGGAACGTTACAAAAACTTGTATCAGAGGTTGTGCCCTCCTCAGAGACACTGGGTACCTTGATTGACAGAAGAAATGTGTATTTCCATCAGTCTAACCTTTGGTGGTAAGACCTACTCACCATGGCGATGTAGCTGTAGCTGAGAACAATCTCTCGAATCTTCCGCATCTCTTCCTCTAGATTGCTGGCCCACACTTCACAGATGACCTGGCTGTTTTCCACAAGTGCTGCAGGCATCCTGAAGGCGCCTCAGGAGCCACTGTGCATTAACTAGGCAAGCGAACACGCCTCCTCTCGCTGGATTTGATCGTCCACACTGGGTCCAATCTAGACTTAAAGATTTTGAAATCGTAAGTTTACATATGGTCTAAGTTGCCAATAAAACAAACATCAAAACTGTATTTTAGACAGATACAGTGACACAGACATATGATCCTAACGCCCACACCAGGAGGCCAAGGAAGAAAGATGGGGAGTTTAAGACCAGTCTGACCTACCTACTGTAGGTACAGTACACAGAGGTCAGAAAGGGCATCAAATCCCTCAGAACTGTACTTAGAGATGGTTGTGAGGCACCATATATGGGTGCTGGGAACCAAACCTGGATCTTCTGCGAGACAAGCAAATGCTCTTGGCTGCCTAGCCCTCTCCGCAGCCCCGTGAGGCTAAGCACTAACTCCACTATAAGAACAGAGAGGTGGGACTGGAGAAATGGCTAGTTGAGCACTAGTTACTGCCGAGGATCCGACTGGTAGTCTACATCCATCTATAATTCCAGTTCCGGGGAGTCTGATGCCCTCTTCTGGCCTCCACAGGCACCAAAGAGACACATGGTAAACACACATTCTGCAGGCAAAATTCATTCACATAAAGTAAAATAATTAAAAAAAAAAAAAAAAAAAGAACTGAAGGTGGCAAGTAAAAATAATTCACGCAGGAACTGGCTGGTGATGTATACCACAGGACAGTATGAGCTCTGAATAATACTGTCACTACAGCAAATTAACACAGAGCCCTCGTGTTTCACCAAACAACCTCAGGCTTGATCAGGACGCCAAAACACACACATCCCATGACAAGGTGCCCTGGCATTAACTTGGGAAGTTAAACACAAGTTAGAGGCCAGTGTAGCAATACAGGGAAACACTGGGGTGGGGGTGTACACAATGGCATAAGAGCTTCTTTTAAATATTCTCTAAGATTTATTTTTATTATTTTATTTGTCTTCATCTGTGCACCATATGTGTGCTTGGTGTCTGAGGAGTTGGTGAGCCTCTATGTGGTTGCTGGGAATTGAACCAGGGTCTTTCACAACAATAAGAAGTGCCCTTAACCACTGACCTAACTCTCTTGCCCATAAAAGCTCTTTTAATGCAAACCCACTGTATGGATCCTCAACACAGTATGTTATGGTGGGCTCCAGTGCACAGGGCAAAACAATTCAGTAACAGTAAAGGAAATAGAGGGGTTTCTAAAGACCAGAACAAGGGAAATCTTTGTTTTCTACCTCAGAACCGACAGGTGCAGCAGAAACTCCAGAACAGAGCGAGGATCACTGTTCTGTTTTGTATTGTTTGGGTTGGGTTTTTTTTTTTTTTTTTTTTTTGGTTTTTTGAGTTTTTTTTTGAGACAGACAGGGTCTCCCTGTGTAGCCCTGGCTATCCAGGATCTCACTCGGTAGACCAGGTTGGCCTTGAACTCAGAGATTCACCTGCTTCTGCCTCCCAAGGGCTGGGATTAAAGGTGTGCGCCACCAACCAGTTGAGGATTGTTCCTAATACTGTCTACTTTTCCTTACAAAACCTTTCATTCAAGGCAGTCTACACTTTACAGATGCTAAAAACTTACGTGACTGTGTGGTGGCTCCCCACATACATGTGGCAGCTACTTCTTAAAGGCCCATCCATTTTTCCTGCTTTCGCTCTCTCAATGAAGGCTTGCGAGTGAACGGAGGACAGGAAAGATGCACATTCACAATGAACTGCAGTAAATGCAACTTCCTGACAACTGAGAGGAGTTCCCCAGGTTGGCCCAAGTGTTACAGGCATGAGCCACCTCTGGCTGCTGCAGTCACTGTCCATGCCCCCTTACTGTGAAACAGGTGCCACGACCTTGCTCCCCACCCCCATCACTGCCATAAACTACAGAATGTAAGTGGGTGGCACTCCTGAACTTTTAAAAGATGTTTCCATGCTGGGAGGTGGTAGTGCACACCTTTAATCCCAACACTAGGGGAGGCAGGTGGATCTCTGTGAGTTCGAGGCCAGCTTGGTCTACAAGAGCTAGTTCCAGGACAGGCACCAAAACTAGAGAAACCTTGTCTCGAAGAAGAAAAAAAAAAAAAAGATGTTTCCATTAAAGTAAAAGAGACACAGGCATAAAGAAACAAACTGCCTAAAGTTGTTTCAAAGGAAATTTGTTTCAGGATGTCACCCACTTCCAGAGCTACTGGTAAAGGAGGACCACACAGGAGCAGACTCACAAGACATTCCTGCAGCAAACCTTTCTCTGGCAAATCTGTGAGAATATGAACAGCAGACTCCAGCCCCGAAAGGCAGTGCTTTTCCTCTGAGAAAAAGAGAAGAGTGCTGACCCATGCCTCCAGAACCGAACCTGTGCTAAGGCACTGGAAGTTACAGACCAGCCTTGGCTTTGGGGCCTGTCATTCACAGAAAGAGCCACAGGGTTTCTAGGCACACAAGGGGATCACACAACGCACGTTAACTGAGCAAGTGAACTTCCTGGACATAATGACTGCAGGAGAGATAAGAAACGGCAACCTAACACAGGCCAAGGTCTCCAATTTCCAGCCAGGAGCTCAGGCTCCAAGAAGCAGCAGACTTTTCTTTTCAGCCTCTCCCTCACATCTTGGAACAGAACGAGTCTATGCTTTCAAGTACAGTTATTAGTATAACAGCCTTACAGTAACCTCATTACTGAAGTTACTATCAAAAGAGCAATAATGGATTTCACAACTCAAAGAAAAACTGACATACTAATCTGGATACACTCAGAAATGATGGCAATCCTGCACTCAGGAGGCTAAGGAAGGAGGGTCACCACTAATCTGAGACCAGCCAGGGATACAGAGGAAGACCCTGCTTTTATTTCAATGTATTTAGTTTCTCTATGTAGCCCTGGCTGTGTTAGAACTCACTCTGTAGAACAGACTGACCTTGAACTCAGAGACCCCACCTGCCTCCCAAGTGCTAGGATTAAAGGCTAGCACCACCATAACTATCTGAGACCGGTTTTTAAAAGAAAACAAAACAGAGAAGCTCGGTGGTAAAGGCATTTCCTGATAAGCCTAATAACTTAAGTTTGAGCCCCAGACTCACTCAATGAAAGAACTTAACCCTCAAGTTATCACGACTTGGCACATGTATACACACAATTATTATTATTTGCAACATATAATAATATAATAATAATACGCTTAAAGGAGAAGATATAATAATAACAATATAATAGCTTAGAAAAGAATGGGGCTGGAGTGATGGTTTAGCACTTGGGGCTCTTTCAGAAGACCAGAGTTTGGTTTGTAGCGCTTAAGTGGGTCGACTCCGTAACTCTCTAGCTCCAGAGAATGCTGACACCTCTTCTGCCTGCTTTTGACACCAACACACATGTGACATCCAAAAGAGACACACTTAAATAAAACTAATCTCTAAAAAAAAATTATCCTTCAAAATTCCGTGGGGGGGGGGGTCGGAGGTTGAGTCTGCGTTCTTTTTTTTTATTAAAAAAAAAGATTTTTTAAGAGATTTATTTTATGTGTATTTTGCCTGCATGCACTGATATATACACCATATGCATGTCTGGTGTGATGGATCCCCTACCTGGAGTTACAGACAGCCATGAGCGGCCATGTGGGTCCTGGGAATCGAACTCAGATCCTCTAGAGGAATAACAAGTGCTGTTAACCGTAGAGTCCTCTCTCCAGCCCAGCTTGCATTCTTCTTTAATATATTTTTTCTTTCTTTAACTTCCGGGTATGTGGAAGGGGTGTTATGTGCATATGAGTGCAGTGCTGGCAGGGCCCAGAAGAGAGCACAGGATCCCCTGAAGCTAGTTATACGTGGTCGTGACCCACTTCATGTGGGTGCTGGGCACCGAACCCCGTCCTCTGCATGAGCAAAATGCGCTTTTAACAGCTGAGCGATTTCTCCAGTCCCAACCCCTTTACATAATGTTAGCCTCACTAAAACTTGATCCCCACACCAACTACATCTGAAACTGCAAAAGGGGAAAAGTGTTCACATAAAGACAGACAGACAGACACACACACACACCTCCCTCCCTCTGCCCTGTGCAGGCTGCAGAGCAATCTGTTTAGACCGCTTTTAATTATCCAAACTTCGGAGCAGAGGTCCCTGTGCATCCAGGTGAGCTAAGAAGAGCAAGTACTGCGAAAGCCAGAAACATGCTCTCCCTGACGGCAGTGCAGACCGTTGAGCTCAGTGTCTCCTGCTCGTCTGGTTCTGCTTTCGCCAGAACGTCAGGGAAACAATAAGCTTCACTTCCCCGTTTCAGAACACTAAACAAAGAACTTTGCCGTGCAAGACGAACGCAGAAGGAAGCAGCGGCCCGTTAGAAGAAATGGCAACAGGTCCCCTCCGGAGCGTTCCAGGCCACATCCCTGTACTCAGCCGGCGCCCCAAGCAGCTTGCTGGCTCTCTCCCAGGGTGGCCCTACCAGGCAAAGCTGCAGCGCCCCGAGATCCCAGCAGGGCGGCCTCCAGCCTGCCCCACCACTCCTGAAGGCCTGCAAGCTGGACTCCGGGGACCCGGAGCGCCGTAGCCTCTGCGCCTCAGTGTTCCCGTGTGTAGGATGGGTCGCCACAGAGGCACTTCCGCCCCGCGCTCCTACCCTGAACAACCCAGCCCGCTTACCCTGGCAGGCTGCCCCGCCGAGCTCGGGCTGGCGGCCGAGTTCGGGCAGCAGCGGCCCTTGACCCGGAGTTCTCTTCCCTCCTGCCCCGGATCCGCTCGAGGAACCCAGCGAGCCAGTGAGACGCGAGCCCCGGCGCCCAGAAAGGCCGACGACGTTCACCAACCCAGAGGACTGCGCCGCTCTACCCTTCGGCCCTCCCGACTCGCCTACTCTCCCGCGTCACTCCAGGCGGGCACGCGCCCGCCCCGCCCCGCCCCGCCCCCAAGTGCGCGCTCAGGCGACAGCGCCCCGTCTCTCTGCGCAGGCGCAGGATGAGGGGGCTCGGCGGGGTCGGAGGACGCGTGCGCAGAATAAGGTGGGGCGTGCACAAGCGCAGGCCCGTCCGTGCCTAATTCTTTACGACCGCTGCTGGGCTTTGGGGTACCCTGAGTCGCGCCGCGGAGGGAGACGGAATCTAAAGCTGGCTCCGAGGGCATGGCCCCTCTGGGGGTTTCCTGACACCGATTGTCGCGCCCTGGATTCCTCATTCACAGAACATCCACCCATGGAACCCCTTCTGGGAGACCATTAGATGGGGATGGGGGAGCACCACCAAACCTAGTCCTAAATGAGGTCAGCTGAGCACGGCCTCCCAGGACCTGACTGGAGCATTGCCATGGCAACCGGACGGCCTGTGCAGTGCAGCACTCAGGCCTGCGCAGTCGGCTCATAGCTCGGCGGGCAAGTGCGGAGCGCCCGGCAGCCACTGTCCTGCTGGGGACAGGGCTCTGCTGGCAGCGAGGCCAAGCTGGGATGCACCGTCGCCTCGTGCTCTCCCAAGAGGCAAGAAGACTAAGGCCTCGCGGGCGCCCCGCTCCTTCCCCGGAAGGGACTGCGGAGCCTAGTGCGGCTCCAACCCCCATCCCTGGTGCTTCCTCTTCAAGGGGCTGTAGGTAAGCATACAGCAAGTGTCCCCTTCAGACATTCCATCTCCTAGTCACTCCACCCTTATCATTTTAATTCTAAAAATATGCCTTCCTGGCTAAATAAGAGCTGGCCTTTCAAACGGGATTGTCAAAATCTATTTTCCAGAGAAGTGAAATCCCACGGCCTGCCTTCGGAGTAGAAATGCCAAGGGCAATTCTGAGCCCCAGCCTTCGCTTCTCCTCCTCTCCAGATCTGTAAAATAGAGACAGGGCTTTCAAAGTTGTGATGAGGGTGAAAGCTTAGATAAAGCATCAACAGTGGCACCACAGAGAGGTGTGAGCAGCTAGTAACTGGAGCTGCTGTGGATTCTCTCTGCAACAATGTGTGTTGATGGCATTTGCTGCACGGCCAGCCCTGTTGGAGGTGTCGGCTTGTCTAGGCTGGCTAGACATTGCCTTCCCTCAGTCAGTTCCTGGGCAGTGGGGTCTGAGACACTCTGTTCACCTGCTTGTAATTCGATTCAGGAAAGGGTGGACCTATCGTGTGCTAGTCACGTGAGGAGCAACCTTTGAAATTCTTGGAATTTTGTTTTTCTTGCCACCAATAGGCCTGGTACGCACTGAAAGCGATCAACAGGAAACACCTGGTTCTCCACACGCACCCACTTCACCTAGAGCTTCTCACAGAACACGATTGTATTTCAGGAGGCCGTGAACTCTCTACACTTCAAACTATGGCTTTCAAACTGCAAACGAGAGAAAGTAAGGTTTAAACACACTTCCACTGGAAAGCATAGTTTTGAAAATACAGAGACACAGTGGTTATAACATGGATCTTTTTTGTTTGGTTGGTTTTTTTTTTTTTGGTTTTTTTTTTTTTTTTTTGGTTTTTCGAGACAGGGTTCTCTGTGGCTTTGGAGCCTGTCCTGGCACTAGCTCTGTAGACCAGGCTGGTCTCGAACTCACAGAGATCCGCCTGCCTCTGCCTCCCGAGTGCTGGGATTAAAGGCGTGCGCCACCACCACCCGGCTGACAGTTTGTTTTTTGAGACAGGATTTCTCTGTGTAGCTTTGTAGTCTGTCCTGGAACATGCTCTGTAAACACTCTGGCCTCAAACTCACAGGGATCTTCCTGCCTCTGCCTCCTGGGTGCTGGGATTAACCACCACTAACATGGATGTTCTTTTTGTTTTGTTTTGTTTTGTTTTTTCGAGACAGGGTTTCTCTGTGGTCTTGGAGCCTGTCCTGGAACTAGTTCTTGTAGACCAGGCTGGTCTTGAACTCACAGAGATCCGCCTGCCTCTGCCTCCCAGTGCTGGGATTAAAGGCGTGCGCCACCACCACCCGGCCAACATGGATGTTCTTAAGAGCGGATGATAACGCTCCATGGCCAGCCTGGCTTCCTGTTACCCCAGTTCTAAACAAAGATATGCACTTCTAAAAAAAAAAAATGTATACCATGTGTAAGAAAATAAGATCTAAAATACAGTTGAGCTTGAAGTACTCTGAACATAAACTAACACCTCCAGGTTAGGACTTAGTTTCTGTGCCCACATTTATAAAACCTGACATGCTATAAGCTTATGCATTGCTTTCCGCCCCTTTGAGTCTATCGCTTTATATTAATCTGCCCTCCAGTACAGCCAGTACCTAGAAACTGGTTTTGGCCACTAGGTAGCTAAAGAGTGGGTTAAGGAAGCAATAGTTTGCCGACTGGAGGTGGTGCACGCCTTTAATTCCAGCACTCGGGAGGCAGAGGCAGAAGAATCTCTGAGTTCTAGGCCAGCCTGGTCTACAGATTGAGTTCCAGGACAACCAGAACTACACAGAGAAACCTTGTCTCAAAAACAAATGGACACAAGAAGTGGTAGTTTATGCCTATGATCCCAGAACATGGGAAGCTGAGGCTGGAGGATTGCCAAAAGCTCTAGGCCAGCCAGGGCTATATGGGAGATATTGTCTCAAAAATAAATAAGTAAATAAATGTTTTAAGTAAATATAAAAAGAGGTTAAAAGATCAGTGAGATTGCTCAGTGGGCAAAGCCCTGCCAGGCCTGGAGTCCCACCCCAGGACCTACATTCTGACCTTCACATGTGATCCAAGTGTACACACACAAATAAATAAATGTCACTGTTAAAAGCAGTTTAAAATCCTGGCACCTACTTTCACTTAGCATCTGTCTCCTTCATTGTAAATTTGGGTCAGACTCCTATATAACTGTACATAGGCATGTTTCTAATTCCAGGAGTGTCTGCCCTAGACGAAGACCAGCCAGACCACACCTCACCCAACCTGCCTCATCACAAAGGCCTCTCCCCCTAGAGAAGGACCAACCACCCACATCAAGCCTGCATCATTGCCCAGCCCTCCTCCAGACCCAGTCCTTGTTTAAACCTGACGCTCTGGTCAGTGCCCTCAAAGACCGGAGAAATTTTTTACCTCCCACGTTCCAAATGGCTGTTTTGATTAAACTCCCTTTCTGCCTCTAGATACATGCCATGTTCCATTCTAAGTATTTGAGCATTTCAGTTTGTAGCCAACAAAAAAAAAAAAAGAAAAGAAAAGAAAGCCTGCTGTGTAAAGATTGCAGGTTTCTGTATAGTGAAGGCAGAGCCAGGCCTTCACCAGGGAACACCCTGTCCTGAGTCAGCTCCAGGAAACCTGTATTAAATCTGTTTTATTTACCTGTATTAGATTTCCCTATCCCTTAGAAGTCACATTTCAAATCTCCTTAGACTAATCAGAGACCTTTAAACTTCAAAACACCTGGCATTAGATCTGGAAATGCAGTCCCATAATCTCAGCACTCAGGAAGCAGAGGCAACAGAACTGGCACAGGTCCAAGGCCAGTCTGGGCTGTGTAGTGTAAGCCTCTACCTCAAAAGAACCAAGTTAATTTCAAAAGTGTTCCGACTTATGCATCATCTGATTTCACAGAAAGGAAGAGATGCTTAGCTTGATTGAGGGGCTTGCCTTCCGGAGGCCACTGACCCCTCAGCCAGGATGAAGGGCTCATCCCTCGTGGAGGCTTTGCTCCTAAAGCCTTTGCTGGGATTGTGGATCCATGTTGACACTGGTGAATGAAACAGAGACTGATGAACAAGTAAACAAGCATTCAAGAACTGGCAATGTACGGCACACACCTGTAATGTCAACACGTGGGAGGCAGAGGCAGGAGGATCTCTGTGAGTTTGCAGCCAGCCTGTGAACACAGCAAGTCCTGGGCCAGCCAGAGCTGCATAGAGAGTGGACCCTGTCTCAAAAAGTGTGGCGGGGGTGCAGCTACTGTGGTGGTGCACCTGTACCCTAGCAGCCAGAAGGTTGAGGCAAGAGGATCAAGGCCACCTTTGGCTACATATTGATTTCTAGGCCAGCCTGAACTTTATCAGACTTTGTCTCTCCACCCTCACCCCCCCCCCTAAAAAATATACATGATTCTGAGAAACTGTGATAGTTATCATGAAAGAGCCCACCGGATACACTGGAGTGGGGCGGGGGAGGGGGGACATATGCAGGGAGTCTCACAGGCAGGCAGGGAAGAAGGCCTCCCTGAGGAAGTGAAATTTAAACAAAGAAATGAGAAGTTGGGCAAGTACATTTCAAGCAGAGGCTAAAGATGCTCTTTTGTGCCGAGGTAATGAAAGGCCAGAGAGATGCAGAAGTGAGCCGGGAGACCGTAGAGGTTCAGGGCAAGAAGAGGCAGACCTGGGAGACTGCATTCCAGTGCACCGGGACAGCAAAAGGAGCTGATTGAGACTGAGGGACAAAGTTGTGGGATGGTCTCGCACAGCACAGGCTAGCTTCAGATGCGAACTCCTGATCCTCCTGTCTCCACGATGGGCTTACAGGTGTGTCCCAGCACACCCAGCTCGGTTTGTTTTTTAGATGTGACTTGGATCTCTAGCGATATAAAGACAGAAATAATTTGAATTCTACTAAACTTGGTCTAAATAGGTAGCTAGTTTTTCCCATAAGATAGATGGGTTTTGCAGGCACCGTGAAGATAGTCACACTGCGAAGTGACTATGGCACAAAGAAGAGAGCTGGACCGATGGAAACACGGGCCAAAGGAAAGAGGCTAGTGAGAGGGAACCCCACCTCTTGCCACTCGGATGTTCCCTTGCCCTCCGTGTACACACCAAGCGCAGTCACCCATATTGTAGCCAAATCTTAAAAAAAAAAAAAAAAAATGGATTTTTTTTTTTTTCCGAGACAGGGTTTCTCTGTAGCTTTGGTTCCTGTCCTGGAACTAGCTCTTGTAGACCAGGCTGGCCTCGAACTCACCAAGATCCGCCTGCCTCTGCCTCCACCGCCCGGCTAAAATTTTGGATTTTTAAAAGACTTTTTAAATTATGTGTATTTGTGTGTATGTCCCTGTGAATGCATGCTCTTGTAGAAGTGAGAGGTAAAGAGTTACAGGAAAGAACCCGAGTAAGTTTAGGTGTTGCTGGAATTCAGGGCCTCTGTCATGGTAGGCGGGTACCCTACCCACTGAGCTACACTGTCAGTGCCAGGACCCCGGCCATCCGGGAACCATATCTGATCAGTACACACAATAGGCTCATTATGTAAATAGCCAAAGAATGGAGGAAAGTATGTCGGCATCTCTCAGAGATGAGGGAAACCCTGAACACGTTGTACCCAGCCGTGAAGTTAATTTTGAAGCAAGTGTCTTACTGAGCCCTGACTGTAACGTGACAAACTGGTCCAAGGAAAATATGAATAAGACACGATCTCTTGTTGGCTAAATAATGTGTGACATATCTGTGACACAGTCCCATTGGGTGACCCTGGCTGCCCTCCAGTGCTCAGTCTTCCTCCCTCTCCTGAACGCTGGGCCCGCGAGCAAGTACCTCGACTCTTCAGGGACTTATTAGGAAAACTCTCCATGTCCAAGTGTGAGAAATCAAGGTGTGATCCCAGCGCTGGGGTGAGGGAGAGGCCTGAGGACCAGGGTCAAGGTCATCCTCTAGAGTTCCAGGCCAGTCTGGGTTACCTGAGACCCCGTCTCAAAAATATTAATAAATAAAACAGGGCTGAAGAGATGGCTCAGCTTTTACTGCTTTTGCCAAGTTCAGTTCCAGACACCCCAATCAGGCAGCTACTCCAGTTGTAAGTCCAGCTCTCTGCAGGCCCCTGTACCACGTGTGTACCTTCCCACAAACAGATGCGCACACATACACATAGTAAAAGATATTTTTTAAAGCAGTATTAAAATATAACGAAGGACAGGGGAGTGTGCTTTGCTTCTGAAGGAGTTTGCAGAGTCCAGGCCTAGCACTAGCACGCGTGAGGCCGTGTTCCACCTCAACTCCGCAGAAACCAACTCTGGAATGTGCCTATAATCTCACCACTATTGGCGGTCAGGAGAATCGGGAACTCTGAGTCAAAGCCCAGCCTGGCTACATGAGGACCTGTCCCTCAGAAAACTGGAATGGACTGGAGAGATGACTCAGTGATTAAGATGCTTGCTCGTCTAGAGAGCCAGAATTTGGTTCCTAGCACCCACATGGAGTGGCTCACCACTGCCTGTAACTCCAACACCAAGGAAGTTGATACCCCTTCTGGGTTCCAGGGCATCACAGTCATGTGACACAAACACACAGTTTTAAAAATAAAATAGAATGCTGGGCGGTGGTGGCACACACCTTTAATCCCAACACTCGGGAGGCAGAGATAGGCGGATCTCTGTGAGTTTGAGGCCAGCCTGGTCTACAAGAGCTAGTTCCAGGACAGGCTCCAAAAACCACAGAGAAACCCTATCTCGAAAAACCAAAAAAAGAAAAAAAAAGAAAAAGAAAAATAATAATAATAGTAAAATAAAATAGCCTGGCACATGCCTTTAATCCCAGCAGAGATAGGCAGGTATCCATGAGTTCAAGGCCAGCCTGGTCTGCAACAGGAGTTACACAGAGAAACTCTGTCAACCAAAAAAACAAAGAAAGAAAAAAGAATGACTCCTGTCATAAAGTGGCAAGTGAGTGTGTCCTAATAGCTGTCTCTTTTTAAGTAATTTGTAGCCAGATTATAGTGCATGCCTGTGATCCCAACATCCTCAGCCAGCTGAAGTAAGAGGATCAGGAATTCAAGACTGGCTTTGACTTCTTTGTAAGTCTGAGGCCAGCCTGGGCTACTTAAGGCTGAAGAAATCCCTCAGAGGTTACAAGTACTTGCTGCTCTTGTAGAAGACCAGAATTCAGTTCCCAGCATCTACATGGTGCAGCTCACAACAACCTGTAAATCCAGTTCTGTGGGATAAGACTCCCTCTTGTGGCCTCTGGAGGTACCTGCAGTCAAGTGCTGCACATACAGACAAGTAGACACACAGGTATACAGCAGGTAAGTTTTAAAAAGAAACTAAAGCTGGAAGCTACCACACCCACCTTTATGAGGCACTTAGGAGGCAGAGGCCATGAATTGAGTTCCAAGACAGAAACAAACAAAAAATTAAGTACATACACTATGTATTTCTACATATTTTTAAAAGAGGGAGGGAGAAGGAACTAAAGTGAATCGGTCAGACCTCTGATCTGAAACCTTTGGATAACTGTGTGCCATCGTCTACTCCCCACACCTTTGCCTCAGCCTGTCTTCCGTGTGTTAACATGTTCTAAAATTGGAGAAGGCAAAAAAAAAAAAAGTGCAGTGGGGAGCAGAGTCTGGACCCGTTCCCTGTTTCCTTGCGCCGTCCTCTCTCATTAAGGACAAGGCCTTCCAAAAGAAAGGCATCTGTTTCCAGCCCACGCAGACCTAAACTTTTTCTCATCACGTGCCTGGCCAGAGCCATTCGGCAGCCCTGTAATGCGATCACTAGGGCCAGCCTCCCGACCCACCCAAGCAGAGCCAAGTGACAATAAGGTTAGCCTACTGAGCTACGCAGCAGCCACAGAAAAACAGAAAAGCGCTCTACAGGCTAGACCTGTGGCTCGGAGACAGAGACGCTTGGGAACGGCCCTCTGCAGAGGTGAGCAGGGAACTGTTGGGAGGGGACTATTTGGGAAAGCCAGGATACATCAAATCCCGCTCTGCCATCAGCCTGTCCTCTACCCATCCTCCGCAGGTGAAGTGTGCCTGGGCTGTTCCCTACCTGTTCCTCAGAGTCAGCACCTCCTACCCACGTCTGCACCTTCCGTCTCCTCCCTAAGGTCGCTTTTCTCAAAACTGACGTAGTTCTAATGAACCGGGGCTACTTCCAAAAGCTGCTAGGGGAACAGCTCCCAAAAGGGAAGTGAAACTGGAAGAGACTGCAGGGAGACTGCAGGGAGACAACCCTCGTCCTAGAAGGACGCGGCGAACTGCCACACTCTTGAGTCTCTGGAAGGATGTGTGTGTGGGCTGTGAGCTGGTCAGCCAGGTCAAGGCGCCTTCAGTGCAACAGTGGCGTCAAGTTTCGGATGGAAGATCGTCCGTCCGATAGACCGAAGGAAGGACTCCCACCAAAGCCGCTGGGGAGAGATGGAGCAGCGGAGAAGTGCTTTGCAGAGGGGTGTGTGTGTGTGTGTGTGTGTCCTAGGTGCTTAAGCCAGGCGAGACAGGATGCTGCCGCGTGGGAGTTGCTGTCAGTTTTTCTTGCAATTCCAAACAGATGTCACTGGCTGCGACAGATCAAGTCAATTTGATAAAATAAATGCCAAGAGGGTCTCCTGCTGCCTTTACCAAGCAATTCTCTAGCAGGAAGGAAGGGCATAGAAGTGCTCATCCACAAGCCCCGGGACATTCTGGGAGCCAAAAACAATACTTTTCTTACTTGGGGCCCTGTGTTTATTTATTCAGCAAGTGCTTCCTGAATGTGGGCTGGATGCCAAGCTTGTGTTTGGTGCTTTGGCACCACTACAGACACAACAGGCACACACTGGCTGTTGGTGATTTTTTTTTTTAATCATACAAGGGATAGAACCCAGGATCTTCCCGATGCTAAACCAATGCTCTACAGTCAAGCCACAGCCTTTTTTTTTTCTTTCTTTCTTTCTTTCTTTTTTTCATTTAGTTTTATTTTGAGACAAGGTTTTGCCAAGTTGTCCAGGATGACTATGAACTGTGATCTTCCTGCTTTGGGATCCAAAGTAGGTGGATTCCAGAGGTACACAACCACACCCAGCTGGCCAGACATTCTTAAGGGACACTGCCCAAGGCGAGTCTCACCTTCCAGAGAGCGCTTCAGCTCCTCTCTTCAGTATCAGACACCTTTTCCTCTAGTTCTTCTCAGACCAGGGCTGCTGTTGCTCTTGTGAGCCCTCTTCTGCAGAAGTGCTCACCTAGGCTGCTGCTCCTGAGGCTGGTGACTGGCCAGGAAAGCCCTCTTGACTGGCTGGCTCTTCTCTGGGATGCAAACAGCCTGCGCAGAGGCTGGGGGTTGGCACAGCGCCATGTGAGTTGCTGGTTCTCTCGTCGCCCCATTTGCGAAACAGAATTTCTTAAAGATCATGCAGCCTGAGAGAAAATGTTAAGAAGCTTGGCTTCCACTGGAGCCTTGTAGGGTTCACAGTGAATCACTTTAAAAACTATTTCTGGCCAAGCAGTGGTGGGGCATGCAGAAGCAGGCAGATCTCTGTGAGTTCGAGGTCAGCCTGGTCTACAGAGCGAGTTCCAGATCAAGCCAGGTCTACACAGAGAAACCCTGTCTCTAAAAAATAAAATAAACAAACAAACAAAAAAGACAGACAGGGTTTGGGTAGCCTCCTGCACTGGAAGCGAAGCTGGCCCCATCAATACCGTGTTTCTACCTGCCACAACAAGGAGACTATTGGCCATGCCTAGAATTTTATGTAGGTTCTAGGGATTTGAACTTAGATCCTCATGCTTATACAACAAGTACTCTTACCCTCTGTACCATCTTCCGAGCCCTAGAGTCACTTCTGCTTTCTGTCTCTGCCTCCTGTGCTACTAAACAGAGGCAGGACCAGGTGGCCATGAGGTCTGGGTCTACTTTTGAATTTAGGGATTTGGTTTGGTTTCTTTGATGTTTGTTGGGGACCCTCCCCAACCTCCTCGGTTATGGATGACCCTGGGTAGTGCCGCAGAAATCAGGACACAGGGGATGCAGAATAGGAGATACAGCTGCATACTTTATTACAAAGCCAGTGCTCTTTTTATAATACTCAAATCATGATTCAAACTAGGTTCCCATAATACATGAAAATAGTTTCATAGACTAGTCACTGGGTTGCAACTAATTTCAAGAGCTTCTTGCCCTAGCTAATCTAAACAAAAAGCTCAGTGTTATGGGAAAAACTCTTGTTGTAATATAATATGTAAAACCACCGCATCAGAAGACAAACCACAACCTAATCAGAGCCTTTGAACTACAGTGCACATCTGTGTTCTCAAGGACTGATCATTGGCAAGGCACTCTACTGATGGGAGAGGTTTGCCTCCTCCTGACTTGGTTTGCCAAGCTTGTAAGTGAGAATGCTACCTCAAGTCACCCCTGCACAGAGTTTCTATGCAGTTCAAATTCGGCCCTCTACAGATGTCGACTGTTTTTTGTTGTTGTTGTTGCTTGGTTGTTTGTTTTGTTTTGTTTTCGGAGACAGGGTCTTACCGGTAGTACGAGCCTCAAACTCATTAGGCAAGGCTACCTTTGAACACCTGACTCCTGCCCCGCCCTACCACACCCAGCTTGTTTTTGTTCCATAACACAAGATGCCAGTCCTGCCTGACCTGGAACTTACTGGGTAGCCCAGGCTAGTCTGAAGCTCTTCCAGTCTTCCCACCTCAGCCTCCCTTGAGGTATGAGGCAAGGCCAGTAATTTTGTTGAGACTGTTATTGCTTTGTTTTGTTTTGTTATTGCCTGTAAGAGTAAGTTGTTAGGCCAGGTGTGATGGCACACACCTGTGACCCCGGCTCTCAGGATGAGGTTGGCCTGGGCTACGAGGAGCCTATTGCAAAGACAACGCTGGGTGCAGTGCTATGCATCCAAGATCCCAGTACTCATAAGTGGAGGCAGAGGAGTCAGTTCAAGACCTGGGCAGTCACTGCACCTCTCCAGAGGAAGGGACAGAAGGAACAGGACGGGCCCCTGGGGGCCAGCCCACAAGCAGTCCTTCTCGGTTGTCCTTCTAGTTTTCTGTCTGTTTGTTTGTTTATTTTAATATTTATTCACCTTTGTTTTATGTGTATGGGTATTTAGGCTGCATGTATGTTTGTATACCACGTGTATGCCTGGGACCGTTGCTAACCAGAAGAAGGGATTGAATCCCCCGGAACTAGAATTAGATGTTTGTGTTATGAGCCCCTGCTGCTCTTGCAGAGGACCTGAGCTCTGTAGTACCCACATCAGGCAGCTTCAGAGGAATCCAATGCCCTCTTCTGGCCTCCACAGGCATTATTTTCACATAAGGAAACCACACACCCATACATACATGTAATTAAAAATAAAAAGAAAGTCTAGTGTAGTGGGGCACGCCTTTAATCCCAGCACTTGGGAGGCAGAGGCAGGCAGTCTGAGGCCAGCCTGGTCTACAGAGCAAGTTCCAAGACAGCCATGACTACACAGAGAAACTCCATCTTGAATACAAACAAAAAGTGTAAAAATGATTAAAATAAGAGACGTAAAACTTGGAACTTACTTGATTAGTAAAGGCGCTCATAGTTGAGCCTGACAGTCCTAGTTTCGACCTCAGAATCCGCAAGGTAGAAGGAGAGAACTGACTCCTAAAGTTGCCCTCTGATCTCCATGTGTGCGCTGTGGCCTGCATGTGCACACAGACACACACATACACAAACAAATATGTTAGTTAAAATGTAATAGAGCATTTTAATATAAATGATATCCACTCACACAGGACAGCACACACCATAACTACATAAGCCATGCTGCAGGGAGACCACTCTGTGGGCAGAAAGATTTATTGGGGATCAAACAGGGGGCAGAGGGAAGAACAAAAGGTTAATAAGGCAAGGAGGTTTTATGTGTCATTTAGCAGGGTGGGGATCTGAGCTGCAACAGGCTGTCCAGATCTGGGTCCCTTGCCTGAGGTAGCTGGCCTTTGGGGGAAGGTTAAGGTTAACACATCCCTGGGGGATTAAGGATGATTTCTAGCTAAGAGGTGTTAAGTTGGGAGCATTGCCCCCAGCCCCTGGCATCCATCCCAGCCTCCCTGGCCTGGACTTCAAATCCCAGCATGCCAGGTCCTGACCCTCCCCCAGGGTATTTAAGTGGCCACCCAGAGGAGAAATGCGTGGTTTTCTGGTCTGCATGGGCTCCCTGTTGTCTCCCCGCCATGTGCTCGGCCATCCACCCGAGAGCATCTTAATAAAACTATGGGCATTTTGGTTTGGTTTTATTTGACCTAATTGGATTTCTTACGCTGTGGAGCTGCCCTTTTCTTACTATTTTTATTTAACAATAGGGACCCCTTAAAATATCTGTTTTTAGAAGCCAGGTGTTGGCACACACCTTTAATCCCAGCACTTGGGAGGCAGAGGCAGGTGGATCTCAGAGTTCAAGGCCATCCTGGTCTTGAAGTTCCAGGACAGCCTGGGCTGCGCCGAGAAACTCTGTTGGGGGGGGGGGGGACCTGTTTTTCTAGTAAACAGAACCCTCCCCTTATGCTTGACAATCATTTGTTTACATTATCACCACCCAACTAGTCCTTAGATTCTTAAAACACAATTTTTCTAAATTGAGCTTGTTTGTTTGTTTGTTTGTTTGTTTAAATTAGCCAGCACAGCTCCCACCATCTGCTCTCTACACACCAATGCTAAAAGTATTAAATTTGGAAAAATTGCAAGCCAAGTTCTCTAGAATCATCTTGGCCAGGTGGTGGTCCCACACACTTGCCTTTAACTAATCCCAGGACTCGGGTAGGAGAGGCCAGTGGACCTCTGAGTTCAAGGTCAGCCTGGTCTACAAAAGCGAGTTCCTGGACAGGCTCCAAAGCTACTTTAGAGACAGGGTTCCAAAGAGAGAAACCCTGTCTCTAAAAACCAATACCAGAAACCTCAGTTTTTAGTGCATATTA